TAGCTTGGTAATTATGATGGTCCAGATTTTGCTTAGAATTGAAACAATTAGTCAGTCATGCACACTCCAATTAAGGGAGAGTGTAGACAGTGAAACAATGAATGGGTGGGGCTTTCTTTGAGTGAAGGTGTCAGAATGAAAAATGGCAATTTATAATTGCATCTAAATGTTTCCTCTGTTCCAAGAGAATGGTGCCTAATGGCAGTTGCAAGTTGAAATTTAACCAGGAAATGAGAAATATTCAAAATAGGCTTCTAACACTCCCTTCCTTAACCGTATACTCCCAAATAGAATTAAAAATTAAGAGAAATGTAATTCTCAGCTTTACTGTAAGTCACCAGACTCTATTTTCTGCCCTGCACACCAAACATGGCCTCTGTTAAGCAATCTATTCAATTTTGCATATGGAGATATTGACTCAAAAGCCCCCAAACACTAAATATATCTTTTTGGCCCATTTATCATATTCAGAGCATTAGTTAGTTAGGGTTCGAATTCTTTAACTTTTTTATTGTTGTTCTAAAAGTCTCCCCTCTTCCCCCCACCCCCTTCCATAACTGTCTCCACTCCCCCCCATTCCATAACTGGCATCCTTCCCAGATGCAACAGGAACCTCCCACATTCTGGTAAACAGATGAAAAAGGAGTAAAGAGAATGGGGAGAAGAAGAATGATCAAGCCTGGGAACTGAGACACCTGGGTTCTCTTCCTTTTGCTCTTATGCAGTTGAGTTCTGCTCTTCATAATTCCATATGGGATTTTCTTGGCAAAGATACTGGAGTGGTTTGCCATTTCCTTCTCCAGTTCATTATACTGATGAGGATGCTGAGGCAAACAGGCGTAAGTGACTTGCCCAGAGTCACACAACAAGTAAGTGTCTCAGGCCAGATTTGAATGTAGAGTTTCCTGAGTCCAGGCCTAGTGCTCTATCTACTGCACCACCTAGCTGCCTGCTTTATATGCTTTGTGGATTAAAGCAAGTTACTCTCTCTCTCTCTCTTTCTCTGGGTCCCAGTTCCTCCATCTGATAAATGAAGGGACTAGAAATGTCTACCAGGTATATTAGTCTGCATGGCATCTATCTCTTTATCTCCAGCACTAATCATAGTGCCTCCTGCACATTATATGCATTGGGTATCTACCTGCTTCATTGGGTTCTGGGGAAAGTGCTCGGCAAACCCGAAAGTGCTGCATCTATGGGAGTCATGATTCACAAAAAAAAAATATCGACTTTATTGTCGATAAATGGAAAAGAACACTAGAGTTGGAGTCAGAAAATCTGAGGTAGAATCCTGGCTCTGCTTTTGATTACCTGTGTGGCCTAGGGTAAGTTCCCTAATCTCTCTGGGCCTCAGTTTCCACATTCATAACCCAAGGGAGAATAGGACTGGTGATTTCTGGGTTCTTGTCTAGCTCTGACCCATGAATCAAAAGGTAAGTCCTGGACTCAAATGGACTGGGTTCAGTCTTGAAGGTTTCTCAATTACTATGGCTTGTTTTACTTTCACCTAGAGAAACTCTCATAACATTTGTGTTTTTGGTTCATTTCTAATTTGCCTCAGAGGTATTCAGTTCTTCTGAAAGAATTAAGCGCATGACGCATGAAACTTAGGACAGGTTTTTATCAAAAATGCATGTAAAGAACAGAGAAGGGAATAGTATCCTAGGCTGGCTATCAAGAGAACACTTATTTCTCTGGTTTTTCACTGGTGAGATGTATTTCTTCCCTCTCCACCCTCACCCGGTTCAGTCACACAGGTAGCCTACAAAACCTAACATCAGCTAATCATGCTGGTTGCTTGCCCTGCTACCTTGAGTCCCAGGGCTGGTACTATAGCCACTGTTCTCTAGGGTGTGTATTCCCCCTTCTCCCTCTCACTCCAGTGGCTATCGTGTTCTGCATGGTACAGCAGAACTAGTTTGGCTCGGAAAGACTAGTCTTCTAGCAGCCACTATTTTTACCCACTGATGCCAGCCAGCACACATTCCTCATTCCTGCCATTGTCTTAGTCCCTGTATTTCTAGCAGCCTCTACCCTGAGTGTTTTGTCTTCATGCACACTTGGTCCTGTGGTATCATCGGAAAAGATGCTCTGGTCCCCTAGGAATGGCTCAAATTCTCACAGCACAGGCCTGCTCTATGACATCCTAGAGTTCTGCGAATGGAAGGACTCTTCCAGTTTCAGAGCCCTGTGGTCTTGGGTTATAAGGTTCCTTCCAGCTCTGACATTCCGTGTTCTCTGATACTATGTCCCCTTCCAGCTCTGACACTGTATGTTCTAGGATTCCAAAGCTCTTTTCAGCTCTGACATTCTGTGTATGTTGTGATTCTAAGGTCCCTTCCAGATCTAACAGTATATGTTCTGTGATTCTAAGGTCCCTTCCAGCTCTGACATTCTATGAGAGTATTTTTGTGTTCCAGTCTGTTTATAACAGGTCATTTGTGCTGGAAGCAATTAGGTATTCTGTGTGTGTTTTCCCTTCTCATACTCAGTTCAAACTAAACTCCACGATGGGCAGTTTTTTATTTTTTTTCAAGGCTTGGTCCTTGGCATTGGGTTAAGGGAAACAGACCAGGAAAATGTAATAGACATAAGCCTGAAAAGCAGCCTTCACACTTTGAGATTTCCAATTGCAATTACCTTCTGTTTGCTCAAAGCCTAGCAGTATGGTGACCTTTGAGGCTGCCCATCCTGTGATGGCTGGGCTGAGAGATGAAGTGTGTAGTAGCCTGATGGTGGGCGTGGCTGGGAGCGCTCACCAAGAAGACTGAGCGTCTTGTTACCCTTGTTTTTTCCGTTGTTCATAACTTTGACATTCTACTTTGGCTAAAATTTGTCATGTTGTGTCAGAGTCCAAAGATATTTTTTTCTCTTTTCAATTTTATAAAAAAAAATTCCTGTAGTTGCTACTAAGTTATGACTATTAAAAAACACTATATTCCTATTAAAAATGAAGCTTTGATTTCTTAAAAAAATTTTATATGTTTTCAAGTAACTCAAAACAGATGAACAAACTCACTTAGCATGAAGGTTGTCCCCAGTGAAGAACTTTTAGTTGGGTAAATTGGAGGGAATCCATGCTTTGGAAGTGAAGGCATCAGCAGGGCTCTCACTGTGGGCAGGGAAAAGGTGCCACACTGAAGTGTGAAGATTCACCAAGGGAGAGGAGTAAAGTGCCAAGTCCTGAAGAAAAAAAAGAACTTGGTTTCCTTGAGGGACTGTCTGTAAAAGCCCCTGGTTACTAATGTTGGAAAAAAAAAAAAAAGAGGTTCTAAAAGTGTTTTTTCTTTTCCTGCACGTAATGTACCCACTGCAGGGTGTGGGCTGATCGAGGCCATGGACACAATCCTATAGGCACCTAAGCAAACTGAAATCATTTGGCCGTCTTTCACAGGTGAAGCTATTCAGCAGACTCCAAAGAGCCCTCACACAGAGAATTCCCATCCGATATGCTTATGTGGGGTGCCTGAAGGAAGAGAGAAAGCATTTCTTAGCTTGAGAATTGGTCCATAACTGCATGCGGCCTCCTATCCCTGTCACTGACTGTTGTAGTGTGCCATCCCTGACATTAATTAGTCATGTGGTCAAGGTTTAGTTCCTTAAGTTTTCAGGGACTGGAAATCATGTCTACAATACTCACCTCACGGGGTTGTTGCAAGGTGTAAATGAGCAAGCATGGGAAAAGGGATTTGTAGACTTTAAAGTTCTATATAAGTGACAGTTGTGTTAATATTGTTGTTATGAGCAAGGTGATGAAGTGGATAAAGCACTGGGTCTGGAGTCAGGAAGACCCAACTTCAAATTCAGTCTCAGACATTTACTAGCTGTGTGATCCTGGGCAAGTCACTTAACCTCTGCCTCAGTTTCCTCAACTGTAAAATGGAGATAAAAATAGCACCTACCTCACAGGGTTATTCTGAGGATCAAATGAGCAGGCATATATTAGCACACTGCCTGGCACATGACAGGCACTTAATAAATACTTGTTTCCTTCTCCCTTCTCCTATGTTATTACTATGTAATTGAAAATTAAAATACTTACAATTCAAGAGCCAAGTATTCAAAATGAACTCATGACATGATGGAAACAACTCTGACCTTAACCTCTAGGGAGCAGGGATTTGTATCCTGGTTCCCTATCACCACCCATCTGAATCTCAATTTCTTTCTCTGTAAAATAGGGATAATAATTTTGCACAACTGTTGTAAGGAAAACACTATGTGAACCATAAAGTGATATAGACATTGAAATCATTACTATTAGTGAAATAAATTATATTTAATATTGCCCTGTTACCTGCTTCCCATTAAAGTGAAAAAGTTTCCCTCTAAAGAGGGAAGATGGATTGGCACTGGCTGCTCTCAGCTGCAATCTACCTTGAGGAATGCAGATGGAGAATGAGGAGTGGAATGGAAGTTCCTTCTAGGAGTCATTCAACTAAAGAAACCACTGCAGTGGGAGGGCAGCCCATTATGGGGATATCAGCTCAAGTATGGGGTGAGGAAGATTTTGAATTTCATCCTGGACAATGACCTCATTTCTCTCTCTCTCTCTCTCTCTCTCTCTCTCTCCCTCCTCCCTCCCTCCCTCCCTCCCTCCCTCCTCTCTCTCTCTCTCTCTCTCTCTCTCTCTCTCTCTCTCTCTCTCTCTCTCTCTCTTTTTGGTGAGGCAGTAAGGGTTAAGTGACTTGCCCAGGGTCACACAGCTATTAAGTGCCAAGTGTCTGAGAGCCAGATTTGAACTCAGGTCCTACTGACTCCAAGGCCGAAGCTCTTTCCCTCATAACACTAGGAAGTGTCAGAGCTGAGATTCAAACCTAGCTCTTTTGATTCCTGATATAGTGGTCTTTCTGCTAGGCCATCAAGCCCAATCTACAAGTAAATTCTATATAAATTAAGAGGAAGTAGGGAAGAAAAACAGAAATCTATATTTCTTGAGCAAGTTTCTTCCTACTTTATTTTGCAAGTATTTATTTTTTTCATATATTTATTTTGCAAGCTGTAACTTAGACGGTAAGCTAAAACTAAGCAGACTAAGAAAAACTAAGGGGCTTTTGGAGAAACATGTTGAGAATCATGTCATCAAAGTCAGCCCAAAGAGGAGTTGCCCTTTTGATGCACCAGGGAATGAAGTGGATCATTTTCTCAGACATTTATTACTCTCTGGCTTGATTTCTTCTCTAGCACTCCCCTCCTGTTCTTCCTTTGGAGAAGATATTTAGGCTCAGTCTACATGGGTTGGGAGAGGGGGGAAAATAGATTGCAAGCTTTTATGCTCTCCTTGGATAGATCTTAGGTGGGAAAGGGATCAGGCCTTGGATAAGAGCTTGAGGTTCTCCTTCCCCCCAAAATGACAAAACAATCAAAAGTGAGCTTGAATTCAATCATATCTCCTAGACTACTAATAGAATATTTGTCTGGTGCTAAGGAGAACAGAGTAGTAGCCTCCAATCCCAACCTTCTGTTTTCCCTCCTGGCAGGAATGAAAATCTCCCTTGGAGCCATACACAATGACAACTCCCTTGCTGTACATGTGGGGGCTCCTCTTTCTTACATTAGGTAAAGGTTGGACTAGGTGAATTCCAAGGATCCTTCAAACTCTGTGATTCTGTGATACATAATTTCTCTTTTGGTCATCCTGGGAAGGAGAGGCAGAAAAGCTTAGCCATAGACAATAGGACGTTCTTCCTTTTCCTTCTCAACTGGAAAGGTGTTTCTCATGCCAGCTGAAATGAAGAGAAAGAAGGGTCAGCAAATCTTTCTGCCTGATGTACCTATTATTTTAATACACAATAAATATATTTATATTTGTATAATATAAATATACTTCTATATTATATTCTATAATACAAATATATCTAATACATTTTAATACATTTAATAATGTATCTATTTTAATTCATCAGTTCAGTTTGAGAAAGGTCTGCTAATATGAAAGGGAGGTAAGAACCAGGAATTGTTAATAAATTAAATATAAACTACATGAAGGGCTTTTGATGCCAGCTTGATCAGAAGTCCTGATCATGATTCTAAGATAACAATTCATGATGAGTTAGAAAGAAGTGTTCTACTCCAGTCTGGAGAGAAAAAAATTAACCAATGATTTTCCAGTTGTGTCAGATTTTTCATGACTCCTTTTGGAGTTTTCTTGGCAAAGATATTGGAGTGGTTTTTCATTTCCTCTTCCAGCTCATTTTACAGATGAGGAAACTGAGGCAAACAGGGTTAAGTGACTTACCACAAGTACTATGTGTCTGAGGCCAGATTTGAATTCAGGAAGAGGAAGAGTCCTGATTCCAAGCCTATCCACTATGTCAGCCAACTGCTCAAGCAATAATTGATAATAGTTAAATATTAGCAAGAAAAGTACCAAATTATACTTATGTACTTATTTTCTTTAAAAAACACTCTCCAATCTTTGGGAATCTTCTCTTCTCTAAGACATGTTGACAATTTATCTCTCAGTACTTTTAAAATTGTGATATCTCACCCCGATTTACTCCATATGTGTTTGTTAAGGTCCAAGTCATTTCCCCCAATTTAATATTCTTGAGTGTTACTTCTTTTTTAAAAACAGTTTTATTTATGCTTTTTTTTATTTATGCTAATACCAGTCATAACTTACTTCAATCATCCCTCACCTATAGAACCCTCTCTTCTAACAAAGTAAAATTGCCAAGCAAATACAGTTGACATAATGATCATACCTGATGACACATGGAACATTGCACACTATATTCCCATCAACCTCTCTACTGAGGTGAGGGAAGTATATTTCATCATCTGTTCTTTGGAACCAAAATCTGCCATTTCCTTTAATATGAGTTCAGATTAATTTTTAATTCTATCTTAATCTACTTTATTGTAGTTATTGTATATAGAGGATTTTGTCATTTGGATTAACCCACAAGCTTTTATTATGTGCTTACCAAACATTGTGCTAAGTACTAGGGGTACAAAGACAGGCAATAATGATCCTTTCCCTCAACCTCCACAAGTGCCATAAGGTCCTGTGCTAGTGCTTCGACAGGGTGCCCAGTGAGTACACCTACCCGTGTTCTTCTGCTCTTGCTGTGACCAGGGCTGTATGGAATGCCACTGGCAGATCATCCTCCCCAGCAGTTCCTATGAGGATGAAGAGAAGCCCAACTTCTTGGACCTGTAGAATGTGTTCACTTGTGCTGATGAGAACTCCCCTGGTGCTTGCTGCTTCCCAGGGAGGGTCAGGGCAGCTCAGTGGCCCTCTGTGGCTAGGTGGTATTGGGCAGGGTGTGTGTGTGTGTGTGTGTGTGTGTGTGTGTGTGTGTGAGAGAGAGAGAGAGAGAGAGAGAGAGAGAGAGAGAGAGAGAGAGAGAGAGACAGACAGACAGACAGACAGACAGACAGATAGACAGAGACAGAGAAGGCAAGAGAGACTCATTCCACATACCTAGTAAGTTACTAAATCATCATTTCTATCTCCACAACATTAGATAGATAGATATTTATATATACATGTATCACATATAATATATACCCAGTATATCTAATACACATAGGTGATAAATTATATGATACATGTGATATATAGAATGTGTATTACATATAGGAGACAGAGACAGGAAGAGACAGAGAGAAAGAAAGAGAGACAGAGAGAGACAATTTGATAGATTTTATTGCCATTAAGAGGCATTTCCTGGTACAAAATTGGGAGATTGGAATAACAAAAGAGATTTTGTTGATTTACATTTTATAGCTTCCCAAAAACAGAGAGAACACATTAATCCAGACCAATACATAGTTCCATCGAAGCTGAGGCTGTCTTGGTGGTAGAAGACTTTTAAATGATCTAGAATGGTCTTCTGGGGCAGTTATCTCTGGCATTCTCTCCCTCTTTCCCACCATTCCTTCTAGCAGTAGGTTTGAAAGGAAGTCCATAGCCTTGGTGTGGGGTTGAGTCAAGGATGTAGACTAAAAAGTGTGACCCACACAAGAATGGGGGTCAGAAAGAGAATGTAATTAACTCTTCTGGTAACCAACACTTCACCTTCTATTTCAACTCCTCCTAGATATACACTTCTATGACACTTTTAAAAAGATTAATTAATTTTTAGTTTTCAACATTCACTTCCATTAGCTTTTAAGTTTTAAATTTTCTCCCCCTCCCTCTCCACCTCCATCCTTAAGATGGCATGCAATCTGATATAGGCTTTACGTATAGATTTCTATTAAACATATTTTCATATTAGTCATGTTGTAAAGAAGAATTAGAACCAATAGGAGGAGCCACAAGAAAGAAGAAACAAAACAAAACAAGAAAAAAAAAGCAAATACTATGCTTCAGTCTGCCTTCCAACTCCATAGCTTTTTCTCTGGATGTGGATAGCATTTTCCATCATGAGACTTTTGGAGATGTCTTAGATCCTTGCATTGCTGAGAAAAGCTAAGTATGACACTTTAATATCACCAAAATGTTCTCCTTACAGCAACCCTGTAAGGTAGGTAGTGCAGGTATTATGATTCTCATCTTATAGGTGAGGAAATTGAGATTCAGGGGAGTTGGGTAACTTAAAGATAATAAACCTTTAGAGTTAAAAGGGATTCTTGCTCAGTTTTGTGCCATGAACCCCTTGGGCAGCCTGGTGAATGGATCTCTTCTCAGAATAACATTTTTAAATGCATGAAATAAAAAAATAGGATTACCAAAGAAACCCATTACATTGAAACAAAGATACAATTTTTCCCATCTAAGTTCATAGAACCCCTAAAACCTACTCACGAACAAGGGTTTGTGGAGCTCAGGTTAAGAGCTCTGGTCTAGAGAGTCAAATGGCTAGGGAAATAAAAGGATATATTTGGACATCAGTGGGTAGGCAAAAAAAAACGGTGGGTAATTAGATTCAATTAGATAATTGGGATAATTTAATTTTTTCTGGATTGGCTTCTATTATCTTCTGCTCATATTAGGACATAGCAAGAATGTACTAATTACCAATCAAAAGCAACTGAGCAGCTAGTATCATTCTATCGGGAGGAAAGGGACTCCTACCACTAATAAATTAAGCTTCTGATCAGGACCTCTGAGGACCCAGGCCCCTACTGCAGTGAACATAGTTGCAAAAGGGCATTTTGTCAGAGCAGTTGCCACTAGTGTTAGCTGAAAAAGCTATCCAAAAGGAACATTTCGTTTTTATCTGTTTCTGGGTTTTGTTTGTTTATTTTGGTAAGTTCCAAATAACACCTATGTATGCATGAAATTCAAGTTGATCTTTTTCTTAGGCGAAATTATTGGAAGACTTTATTTCTACTTTCCAGATCATGAGAGGAAATTTGGTTTTCTCTTGAAATTGTAGAGAAAGTGCTTCTAGGAAGAAATAAAGGAGAAAAAGTGAGTGAAGAGGCAGAGGAGTAATTTTACCTGTGTCGGGAGGTTGGGGGGTGGAAAAAGATAACATGGAGAAGGAGAAGATGAACCAGTGTTAGGGAACAACGATGAAGGGTTGTTCCAATCCGTTGAAACGGTTTGGGGAGATTTCACAAAAGAATCGGAAACTCTGTCCACTGAGCCATCTAGCTGCCTCGTAATCAGACTTCTCTGTAAATGCATAAAGCCACAATCATACCTGTCAGTTCTTTCTGTATCCCAGGATGTAATATATCTGAGCCTTTACTGCAGAGCATGTTAACCAACAAAATGAAAGGGCTTAAAGAGATACCTGGACATCCGAAGTAAAGGGACGGAAGAAATAAGAGAAAGTTACACTAGGGCTGCAAATGACTCCTCCACATCAGGGCGGTTCTATATACCAGGGTAGCCCATACCTCTGCATTAGGGCCAAGGAAGGGATACAACCAGGTGCTTGATGATGCAGTTGGGGGGCAGGGATTTTAGAAGGAGGGTTCTGCATCTAGTTCAGCTGCATCTGACTGATTTCTCATACGTTCCAGGAAGAGACGCACCAGAGACTGGTTAAGAGAAAGCATTGATATGGATAAGGATCGGGGGAGTAGACCTTGGATTTGAGTGGTAACTGAATTGCCAGATAAGAGAGCTCCCTCTACCAATGCATCTTGGTACCTTATCTGCAACTTGTAGTAATAAAGAATTTCCTAGCTCTCTAGAAGTTAAATTTCTTGCTCTGGGTCACAGAGTGAGAGATGAGACTTAAAGTCAAGTCTTCCTGGCCTATGGCTAGGCCTGCTCATTGTCTGCTGTGCCGTGACACATGAAAGTTTCTAGAAAACAGGTGATGTTAGAAAGGAAACAGGAGGTGTGTCCAGAGCACAGGCAACCTGTTTCAAGGAAGTTTTGTTCCTAAAAATTAATGTTTTTGCCTTTTTTTTTTTATTATCACTGATGCTATGAATCAGATTTAGTCCCATATGCCATTTATCTGAATCAGTGTTTTCTGACCCAAAAGTGAAGAGATTTGCTAAAAGATTTGCAACTGAGGGCATGAGTGAGTGTGAAAATGACATGATCGCAAATAGAAGTTACTCCAATCATAGTAAATACTGGAATAAATACTAGCAAAATGGTACTTTAATAGGAGAAATTGTTTCCAAAAGACTGATATCGCTATAGGGGAAAATGGTGATTAGTTCAAATTTTTAAACGATTTTTATAGATGAGTAAAAGGGTCTGTAAAAATAATATCAGAAGTACTAAAGCATGTATTAGCTGAGGCTAGGAGAACAAGAATAACAAAGAAAGGGTTGGTTTTGCTTTGATATTCTTTTTTTTTTTAAATGCTGTATTGGGGGTAATAGGAGGACCAAGGAGGAGGTAGGGGTGCTTCTCAGGAGAGGATTAGATAATGATAACAGAAGACGGTGAGAAGGCTGAACTAGTCACTCTTGTTTGGCTTTTGTCTTTTCTTCCAAGGAGAATGATTTTTGGGCTGGTATAAGGAGAGGGCAAAAATTATCATGGGAAGTGAAAGCTAAAGCTAATTGAAGAAATGGTTCTTCTGCCTTACTGCTTTGAATGAGTTTGTTATCCGGCTCAAATGAACTACATGCAAGGGTAGAAGTGGAGCGACCTACTGGCAACTTTTGAAAAACTGGAGACTTGGAGAGGTGACACAGGACTCCTTCAGGACAGCAAATGCCTTAATTTTGAAATGTCATCCCCAGCAAGGATCTCCTGCCCTTTGCTAGAGCTCTGGGGTGTGGGTTCAAATGGACCAGATCTGCTCTTGGCAGCCTGATTTCAGAGGCTCATTTTCTCTCTGTAGTTAATTACTTTAGTCTCCTTCTCCCAGAGACAGTATAGCTACATGACCCTTTCCAGGTTCTAGGGCGTACCCCAGAGAGGCTATGGGTTGGCTTTTCTCCAATGCTGTTGGTTTGTGTTTTTATGTGCTCCCCTCACTGTTAGCTGCAAGTACTTAATGTCCCAGTTCCATTTAGCTAATTAGCACCAATTACCTTTTACGAAGGGAGATTTACTTTATAGATATAGCAAGAACAAGAATACAACCTCCCCCCCTCCCCTGGCAATACTTGGGGGAGCATTTCCTTCATTCTACCTCTGTCCTGTGGAGAGCAGGCTCCGAGTTAATAAAGTTTCTCTATAGTGTTGCCCTCCCAGAGCTCACTTCCAAATTCTGCAGAGAAGTGGATGAGTGCTTCTCAAATACCACTGGCCTTCATCTTGATGTTTTTTCCTTGGGGCCTTGATGCTGGACTGTCTGTCTACAAAATCCCAGCACGGACTCTGCTCCTAGACCCCAGTTAATTTGCTTATCTTGATCCTTTGAAACTCATAAGGTCATAGCCATATCCAAACTGCATCTAAAAGCAGGAAAGGATGGATGCAGCAGAGACAAAAACCCCAGCAGGGCCATGGACTCTGTGTGCCCAGCTCCAGGAAAGAGAAGAACAATGACTTCAGTGGCTTTTAGCAGCTCGTCCTTCTTCACCAATGGCTGAAAAAGTCCACAAAGAGCCTATGCCAAGAGAATGGCCCCAGCTAACTAGTGCCTTTAGTTTAGTTTAGTTTTTTTCCTACTGAACGAAATACTCAGCATAGAATCAATAATCAAGTGGAGGAAAAACTAATAATAATAGTAATGATAATCACGATGATCATAGTAATTTTCATTCCATCGCTCCCTTAAGGCTCAGAAGTTCCTTCAGACATAG